CAAGGAGAAAACACCATGAATTCAAAAGAACGAAACAGTCCCTCAATAACGCGAACAATACTAAGAAATACATAAGAGACATGCTTAAGAAGTTTAGCATTGAAAATGCATCAGCATGTCCAACACTAATACTAATCACTAGACATTTCGTCACTCGGGGTGAAGTAATGTCCATTCCTACCTTGTACCGAGAAGCATATATGCATTAAAATACTCTGTCAATACAAGACAATACATAGCCTTTGAAGTCAATAAACTTAGATAATACATGAGTACTCCTATAGGGGACCATTGGCAATGGATTAAGAGGATATTAAGGTATCTTTAGAGCACCATAAATCACATATGCACATCAAGCCCTCCAGTTATCATAAAATAGTAGGATCCTTAGATACAGACTGAATTGCTAGTATAGGTAATAGAAATTAATAGGAGGACAACATGTATTTCTTGGTGAAACTCTGATTTCTTGTTCCTCAAGAAATCAAAAGGCGGAGTCCATATCAACCACAAATTCAAAATATAGATAATTAGATGACTTGGATACTTAAGTATCTTGGATAAAATCACTACTAGAATAATTAAAGCTCTCAATCTTTAGAAAATATGTCTTATTCCAATTATCATGCATGCTCGATCCAAACATATTGAGATAGATGTGAGTTATATATTTGATAAATTACTGCAAAATAAAGTCACTAAAGCCTATGTCCCCACAATTGATCAAATTGCATATTACTTGACCAAACGTCTCACACTAAGTTCAACATTATGAGAGACAAAATTGGAGTAATAATGCCACATCAGTGATAGGGGGTTAAAACATATCATGGTTACCTTTGAATACATAACTTTTGTATTCATATCATGATCCCTAAACATATAGGCTAACTACACTCATTATGTTTTTATATTTAACTTATTATGTAATTATGGAGAGCTTGATCTTAGGATCATATCATAACTGTGTATTTAAACATATTTGAAAAATGAAAAAGACCGAGAATTCAATATATCAAACTTCTCACACCCTATATTAGTTTCTCCTAGGAGCCCTTAAAGCTTATTTTGTATGTCAATTGAATCTTTTTTCCTTTAAGTGATTTTTAAGCGCGCTTTCCTTACCATAAGTGAGGGGGTTTCAAAAACACTTATGACCTTATCACGAGAAACACTATCTTACATAGTAGAGGATAATTGTCCATATTCAATTCATTGTTCATAAACTTGTTTGTAACTCTAATGATATGGGTTTAAAAAGTGCAACTCAAATGAAAATTGAATCGAACATGAAGAAAAGATAAACATAAGATATTGTGTTTTGAGACGACATAATACATTGCTTCGTCCACAACTATTTGAGTTGAGATAAGTGGCGTTTTCCGCGAATGTTGATTTGTAAATCCATTTTGTCGTGAAACAAACATCCGCTCTTCACCTTTTTTTGGGTAAAACAATGATTTTTGTCGAATGCGACTAAATATCTTTCGCTAAAATCGACCAACCAACATACATTTTTCTACCCATAACTAAGTAGCCTTGAATTCTCTATTGCACCTGGAGATACTTAGGAGCGAGACCCGCAATCTCGTCGGGCACCCTAATAAAAAACATTTGCAACCTCTTTTCTTTTTCTCTTTAATCTTTTATCACTCGAAGAAAACAAATGACATAAGCTAACATTCAATCACGAATCTAACTTAAAGGTTATCATTGAGTACAATGGACGTGAGGGGTGGTAATACCTTCTTGTTGCATAATTGACTCTCGAACCCAAATATGGTTGTAACGACCATGTTCTTTTTAAAGGTTTTATCAATATTTTCATATTTCTTTATTGGAATAAATAAAGTTCGGTAGCAACTCTGTTCGAACACTTTTTTATGTGAGCATGCGAACGCTTTGCGGAGGATCATATTTTTTTAAGGTACGACAGCTGGCGAATCTGCGGGGGAAGCTTGCTCCAAGCAAGAGAGATTCAAGCCTAATTTAGTTCAATTTGCAAAGAACATTAACTTTGTTGACTTGTTTTCTTCTATCTTCTTTTCTTTATCTCATTGTTATTGGTATTGATTATCTGCTTTTGGTTCTTGCAAATTGTGGTGGATATTCTAATTGCTTGGTACACATTGTGAGCTGAACTCTCTACCCTAATCTTGAGAAAAACATTAAGATAGGATGTGGTTGCATAGTGTTGACCTGCCAGACTCACTTGTCTTTTTGGGGTAACATGAGAATCATACTTATAGTAGATCTTCTTGAGGTATTGTCAACTAGCAAGCAATTTTACTAAGGGGGTAATATTTTCTTGTTGGATCCGTGACGCTAAGGACCTCTTAGAACCCAAAACATCGTGGTTATATAGTGTTGGCCTTCCAGACTCACTTGTCTTGTTGGGTTAACACGAGAACCACACTCAGACAAGGTCTTCTCAGGGTATTGTCATCTAGCAAGCAATTTTACTAAGGGGGCAATATTCTTGAGGGAAACCATTGACTCTGGGGACTTTATAAACCTAGAGTTACCTTGACCTTTTTATGCAAAGCAATGAGAAATGTCTTAAATTCGTACCTATTTTCATTTGAGATTACCTAGATCCATATACCTGACACGCATTGCATTCTCTTTGTATATAAAACTTAGCATACTCTAAAAAATGCATAAAACCAGAATTACATACCATTGCATTCCTTCATGCCTACATTCAGGTTATCAAAAAAATTCATTTCATCTGTTCTTATCCACAGATTTATTAAACCATCGTCAAGTTGTTTCCTCAACACAAGTACAAAACTAGAGCCAACGTCAAAAGAAGGATGGCTAACCAAAAGTAATAAAGTGCTAGAGTAAAGGAAGAACTTATCTCAAAAGAAATATGAGCCTAATGATGGAGATGCTCCAAGCTTTAATCGCCAAGCTTGAAGTTCCTTAGGCGACAACTATCTTGGAGATTTCAAGTCCTTATTTTGAACCTTAACCTACAAAGAATGTGCCTTCTACATGGCCGCCATTTGGGTTACCTCGTGACTATACACCTCAAATTGAGGGGGGCCTAGGTGTGGTACAATCAACTTAACATGTGGTACCTTTACCACTCTTCACTAAGACTCATCCTGCCATCCACACGGTTGCACCACCAACTGTCCACGCAAGGGCCCAGCCACACTTTGAGGACCATCATCAGATATACCATACTATTGAATCTTCAACTGGATATGATATAAAAGATGAAAAGATAATAGGTGCGAAAGAGAGCTTTCAGATCCTCGAGAAGTGACTGTGAGCTATGGAAGGAGAAAAGGTATTTGAAGCTGCTACCAAAGAAATGTGTTGGGTGTCCGGACTATCGATCCCTGCTAAGTTCAAAACACCAGACTTTGACAAGTACAAAGCGTACTTTTGTCCCAAAAGCCACCTGATAATGTATTATTGCAAGATGTCCGCATATGTGGAGAACGATAAATTAATGATACACTATTTTCCGGATAACCTGAGTGGTGTTTCCTTTAAATGGTACTTGAACTTAGATCAAAGTCGCATTTAGTGTTTCCAAGACCTATCTGATGCCTTCATCAATCATTATAAATATAATATGGATATGGCATTATACAGAAGACAACTGCAAAGCATGTTCCAGAAGGACAATGAGTCTTTCAAGGAATACGCTCATAGGTGGATCGAAGTAGCGTCTCAAATAGAACTGCCTCTGGATGAAAAGGAGTTAGCCGACTTGTTCATGGATAAGGTCCAACCCACTTTTATGAGAAAATGGTTGGAAGTGTATCACTGGTTTTCTCTGACCTGATCGTTGTTAGCATGAGAAGTGAATATGGTTTGAAGAATGGAAAGATTGCAAATGCTGCCAAAGTCTCCAACGCTGCAAAGAAATCCCCTGGAGGATTTCAAAAGAAAAAGCAGAGTTTGATCCGGTTAGTGTTCAAAATTGGAGTGTCAAAGTGAAATACGAAAAACTTCAAGAATAAGTTCCTTTAATTCCATTAAAATTCAGGCTTGATGATTATTTTTTATGATGGATGGTGTTAGCTCTCATTTCCGATGCTAGTAAAAGTCAGAATCATCTTAAGTCAAAATGTCACTTTGGTACATGAGAAGGTTTCGACACGACTATGAAGAAATCCAAGTCGAAGGAAGGTGAACAAAGTTTCTAAAAAAATACTAAGTGTTGGAAACATTCTCGACCAAGATCATGCTGAAAAGAGCGTGAGACAATTACTATAAAAAATGGAGGGAATTTTTAATGTCTAAATTCAAAGTGATAGTGGGCGAACGTGGGAGAAGTTGAAGACTGAGAAAAGCGCCAAAAAGACACGTTGCGAAGCCTCAACCGTCATCTAAGTGGTTACTTTCTAGCACTATAAATAGGTGTTATTTTCATGTAATAAGGGTGTTCATTCATTTCTATACTAGTCACTCCATACAACTCAAAGTACCCGCGTGTAGAGAAACGAGTTAGCGAGAATGTATGTGATACAACACCAACCACTTTTTCTTAATGCAATTTACTCATTCTTGCCATTTACTTGTTGCCTTTTAACCTTCAGCTTTTACATTTAAACTGTTTTACAAGTTTTCCTGCAATTTAAAAATTCCTTTACTTTCCATGCCATTTAACTTTTCTGCACCTTTATTTTTAAGGATCCTCTAGTCGAACGTGGAGTTTAGAATAGAGTCTTTTGCACATTTATTTTCAAAAGACTTTACTTTCTTGCGCATTTATATTCGATGGCATTTACTTTACAAAGATGTTATAGTCGAACGCGGAGTTCGATTGTAATCTCTCGCCCTTTACTTTACAACATTTACTTTTAAAAGCTTTTATTTTCAAAGATTCCATAGTCGAACGCGGAGTTCAGATTATAGTCTTTTGCATATTTACCTTCTTGCCTTTTTTTAAATAAAAAATATTTTGATTCAAAAAACAACGACAGTACAGATCTAGGTGATCCAGGGGGATCCAACCGACAAAAATGGACTAAAAGTTACATCATAAAATTAACAAGATGTTTCCTAATCCTAGTGTTGTTCCACCCACGATAGATCACACAGTCAATGATGTTAGATATTGTGGTTGTATTATCTATAGTGTTGCCAAAAGTTTTGTCATTCTTATAACCCCAGATGTTGTATATAGTTTCAGCGGCTAACATCCTCAAAATTTCCGCTTTCCAGCCCTTTCCCTTTGTTAACTTGGTGAGCCAAATCATCTCAACATCCCACGGTTGAGGATCATGAGAGATGTTAAACCAATCGAGCACTTCCTTCCATATGTGACTGGTCACTTGACAAGAGAAAAAAAGATGATTCATCGTTTCTTCCTCGGCATGACATAAGTTACAGCTGCTGTCCTCAAGCATCCCAAAGTGTTTCAACCTGTCTTTGGTCGCAAGCTTTCCATGGCAGGCCTACCATAAACAAAACACTGCACGCGGTCGCCCTTTGTTGAACTGCACCAGATTTCGCCACTGAACCCTTGTGCCATCATCAATCATCCCTTTATAAAGAATTGAGACTTTAAACTCCTGTGCATTCACGATTTGATCCCAATCATTCCGGATTTCACCCATGTTATCTCGATGTTTCAAAATACCTCGCATAATCCAAGAGTTGTGAGCTTTGGTTTCGTAATTCATCACACTTTTATCCTTCAGATAATGAGTATGGATCCATTTAACCCACAAATTATCAGTTTTTCTGCAGAGATTCCAAAGACACTTCAGGAGCAGCACCTTGTTCCAAACCTGCAGATTCAACAGATTTAAACCACCCTGAGCTATCGGGCAGCAAGTGCGATTCCAAGCCACGAGACATTTTCTGCTAATAGAATCCTTACCGGTCCATATAAAGCTACGGCAAATGGAATCTATTTTCCTGATCACAGCTTTAGGCAAAGGGAGGCATTGCATCCAGTATTGAACTGTTGCATCCACAATACTTTTGACTAGCTGAATTCTACCGGCATAGCTGAGGCGTCTAGATGACCAATGATGTATTCTTGCCTTTATTTTCAAAGTAATTTCCTTTTAAAAGCTTATAAATTACTGCAATTTTACATTCTTTCCTTTTAATCTTCGACGCATTACTTGCTTTCTTTTAAACTTCAAGTCATCTTACTTTCCAAAAGATTTCATAGTCGAACGTGGAGTTCAACCTAGGGTCTTTTTGAAGGTGAGAAAATACTTAGAAGGGGGGTTGAATAAGTATGGAAGATTAAAAACTTAGAATAAAACACAATTATTTTTATCCTGGTTCGTTGAACTCAACTACTCCAGTCCACCCTTCCTAGAGTGATTTGCCTTTCTCAACAAGGACTTAATCCACTATTTAATCAAACTGATTACAATAGTAACACCTAAGAACAACTGTTCTTAGTCTTCTTAAGAGCTACTGATTCCAACTGAATCCTCTTAAGGAAATCCTTTACAATTAATGTAAATCTAATACAAGAGTATGAATGCTTCTAAAAAGCTTTTATCACAACAGTGATATTTCTCTTAAGTTTAAGTACAAATAATTATAAGAATGAATATGAGAATATGAGAGCTTGAATGTTTCAATATCTTTTTAGCAAAAATGTCTAACTGAAGAATTTGGTGGAGTCTTCCTTTTATAGGCAGCTGATCCAAGGAGAGCTGAGCGTTGAGAAGAGTGTCCCAAAAAGGTCTGAGCCTTTTTGTCTTCACATCAAGTGAGCTTTCCTAGAAGAAGAAAGCACAGAAAAATCCTTTTTGTCTGTGTTCTTGTGTCTAGCATAAATGAGGAAAGAGACGTTTGATTTACTCCAACGGATATATTCTTTGAATATTACTTCTTCAGTTTTCAGCAAGTTCATCAGAGTCTGATTGGGTCAGAGTCTTCTAATGATGATCAGAACTATGCTGGATCAGAGTCTTCAGCAGCATGTGTGCTTTCAGCGTGTTAAATATCAGAGCATATTTGACAGAACTTCAGTACTGGAAGCTTTAGTACTTTCAAAATCTTATGTAGAAACTATGCTTTGAAAAACTCTTCATACAATATTCTTCTTAGCTTCAGATGCTTCTGACTTGCTTCAGATCCTTCTGGAGCTTCTGCTTCAGAATCTTCTGGAGCTTCTTGCTTCAGATTCTTCTTGAGCTTCTGCTTCAGATTCTTCTGGAGACTACGCTCAGAACCTTCTGTTGGCAGCAATCAGAATCTTCTAATGAGTGCATCTGGCGCTTCAGAGTCTTGTTAATTTCTTGTATACCATTCAGATTTGCTTCTGGAGTGTTAATATCTTTACTATTTGCAGTAAAAACTCTCAAGCAATTTTTAGAGTATATAATTCTTAAATACAAAATTTCCTAATAGTTATCATCAAAACAAAGAGATATTATTAAGAACCAATCTGTGTTCTAACAATCTCCCCCTTTTTTATGATGACAAAAAGCATCAGAAATTTTGTTTAATATAAAATACTAGAATTATAACTCCCCCTGAGATGATGAATCTCCCCCTGAGTTAAATACAAATAAGGAATAGAAACTTCCCTTTTGTCTTGAGTAATCTTCAGAGTTAGATCTTGTTTGTTCTTTTATATTTGAAGGTCAGAATGTCTTGCAGATTTAATGTTCAGAGTTTGATAATGGTCAAATGATCTGAGAGACTCAGAGTTTCTTTTATAGAATTTACTTATCAAATGTTCTGAAATAGTCAGATTAAATGTTAGATAGAATAAATATGTCTGAAGTTTTATTCTGGTGAAGTTATATTAAACAGTTCAGATCTATATTTTCTCCCCCTTTTTTGTCATAAGCAAAAAGTAAAACTTTAAAAAGACAATTAAAAGGAAATAGTAAATAAGATAATTCAATGGAGAAAACTTTGATTCATTCAATAAATTCAGAGTACATAGGCAAACATCAAAAGATATAGCAATGAAGTACATATGCAAACAACAGATGCAAAAACATTAGAATGAAAAAAAATCTAAGAGTGTTTGGACAAAAGCATCTTCAATAGATCTGTAATCTCAGAGGATGATTGCTCTTTCTTGGACATCCACTTAGCCATAGTTTCATTCTTTTCATCTTGCTTTGACATCCATTATGTCATATCCTCAGACTTCTTATCCTGCTTTGCCATTCAGGACTTGATCTCTGACTGGCCAGCTTCCAGAGCAGCAATCTTATCTTCAAAATCTGGATGTTCTTTCTTTAACTCAGATGAAGAATTAAGATTAGGTTCTAGAGCTTTAATAGAGTCAATTTCCATTGGTTCTGAAGAGTCTGGAGCAGTGGAGTTAGAAGGAGGGTCTACCAGAGTCATAGCCAACGGATTTTCCTCAGATGCAATGTCAGTAGATTCTGTTGAAGGTGGAGGAGCATCTGTAAGGAGCAAAGGATCAGATTTCTTGACAGTCCAGAATAGAGTCCTTGCAGCCTCATCAAATCTGAGCTTCGCATCATCAGAACAAATGTTCTTCAGATTTGAGGCCACAGAGTTGAATCTGTTGATGAATCCATTCCAGATGATGTCAGATTCTTTAGCATCCATTGTTGCTGAGCATTTCTTCTGAACAGTACCTAAATACAACTGTATTTCATGCAAAAAGGTTTGAAATAAATGATCAACATTAAGTTTGGGCTTTGGACGTAACAGAGTTTCCAGAGTTATAGGTTTAGGTTGGGGAGTTGGTGGAAAGAGAGATTTCTGAATAGAGATCAAAGGAGGAGGATAATATGGAATGAAGGGTATCTCATGAGCTTTTTCTTTTGATCTGATTAAGGCATTTAGCAGATGAGGTTTTACTCTTGTGTGAAGGGTAACTACATCAAAAGTTTCATTTGAGTAGGGTTGGAAGGCAGATTTTGGGGATTCATCAGATGCAACATTTGTATCAGATGTAATTGGCAGAGCTGAAGCAACAACTTTATCAGTTTTAGCAGAACAAGATATAGTTGCTAATGAATCTACATCTGATTTGGATTTTATATAGTCAAGAATCACAGATGGAAGGGTCATTGTGGGTTTTGTTTTCAGAGGGTTGATGGGGTCAGATGGTTCAACTCTGTCATAAAAGTCTTTGAGTTTGAAGCCATAAGCCAAATTATGAAACAGAGATGAAACTTGGGCACAAGATATAGAAGATCTTGGGTTTGAAGTAGGAATCAATATCTCAGATGATGGTGCTGGTGTGGGAATAGGATCTGGAATGGGAGCTTTTGAAGGTATAATGGGTTCAGGTTGGTTTACCTCAGAATATTTTTAAGATGGAGAGATAAGAAAATATGGGTGGAGGTCTGATTCTGAGGAGTTTGAGGAGGTGGTTGGTGTGCATGAAGTAGAAGATACTTGAAACACCGTTTTTAAGGGTGTGACATCAAGAACTTCTGTTTCAGGAATGTGAGGTTCAAAAGTGTTTGTTGGTTCTGAAGGAATTTCATATGGTTTTGATGGTGGTTCTGAGATGGGTGAAACAGAGGGAATTGTGATTGGTTCTGATGAAATAGGAACAGAGGTTACTTTTGTAGGTTCAGAAGTAACAGGGGCAATGGGTTCAGATGATTTTGATGATGGATTATCTGAAGGTGGTTGATTTTCAGAGGCTTTTTCTGGTTGAGATTCTTGTGGTTTTTTAGGTTATTTTTCTTGTGGGTGCTTTTGTTGTTCAGATGTGTTTAGTTTAGATGGTTCAGATGATTTTTGTTGTACAGATTGTTGTGGTTGTTGTTCTGGAGGTTGTTTCTGTGAAGATTGTGTTTGAGGAACAAACTGTTTGATATGGATTTTTGGTTGAGATGATTTTGGTACAGAGACGGTTGGTGTTTGAGTGATTTTTGTTGTTGGTGGTGTTGGAATAGAAGTTTGTTTTTGTGGTGATTTTGAACTTGGAGCAGTAACAGAAGTAGTTTGTGTTGAGGGTGGTTTTGGAACAGACTTAATATTAGAGTCATTTATAACAATTGTATTTGCAGAAGATACAGAAGATTTAGTACCTTTTATTTTGATCCTCTTAGCTGGTACAGAAGAAGTGTCTTCAGATTCTTTTCTCTTCAAGAGCTTCTTAGGCTTCTCAGCAATCTTGACCTTCTTCTGAGCAGGGGCAGGTTCTGCTTCTGGCTGAGTCCTTTTCCTTTGTAGTTGTGCTTCTTCTTCTTCTTCTACATTAGGTAGAGGTTGTCTTGCTAGCTGAATCACGTTTGCAGGAACAGGCTTTCCTTCCTTCTTACATTCATCAATGTACATAACCACAATATGTCTTGGCTCTTCAGCAAAGAACAGTGGGAAGTCATCTACAGGCACCCTCTTCTGACTGAGTTCAGACACATTCAGCTTCTTGGGAGCTGTTGTGAGTTCATCAACTATCTTAAGTCTCTGAAGACTTTTAGCATTCAGAGGCTTTCCCATAATGAATTCCAATTCCTCTGTAACTCCAGCAGTGTACAGAGCAGAGACCAAACCATTCTCAGTTAGAAGATCTGAGATCAACCTTCCAAAGGGGATCCAGGTTCTGATCTTCTGTCCTTTCTCTTTCACATACTCTCTAGATGCATTAATATGGTTCCACAGATGCATAAAAAGAATATATGGAAGATCTACCTTGGTGCTCTGACTGAGGCAATACATGAAATAGAGTTGTTCATTATTGACATAGTCTGGAGAATTGGTTGACTTCCTATGATGGATGCATCCCATGAAGATCTTGGCCTAGATCTTGTAGTCAGGCTTCAGATCCTTGAATTTGTTAGAAGCTTGACCAGCAGTCATCACTTCTTCATACACTTCATCCATGTCCACACGCCCAGCTGGCAAGTGGGAAACACCATCTGTTTCTTCATATCCAATTAATTTTCTGATCAGATCTTCTGTGATAATGATTTCTTTTCCCAGTACAGAAGATAAGATGAACTTGGGGTAAACTGAGGCATGGATCCAGAATTCT